TATATATTAATATTATTTATTAAGTCCTGTCCAGACTATAACATTTTATTTGACAAAAACATGACATACCTAAATATGGTCATGTCATGATGACATCACATCATGGCCATATATAGGCAAATCATGGCTAGATATGGGCATACAACAGTCTAGATAATTGGATAGAGCTTATGAAAGAACTTGTACCCAGTTCATCCTTGAGACAACAGATTAGTTATGTGCATTTTTCAACATATTATATTTCTTTTACGGTTAACAAAATGTTAATAAAAGCACTTTGCACATGATACCATCATCATAAACTGTCCATTAACAAACACCAATACAGAAGTCAATGTTTAATGCATATGATGAACTTTGACCTTCATTATGCTCTAACAACTGCCAAGACCCCAGGCATTACATTTTTCCATAGATATCCAATTTCTCCACAGTTAGATTTTCATAATAACTTTCATTTTAAATATATAATGTGTGTTAAACTAATAAACTTAAATTTGATGTTTTAGCTTTCAATTAAAAATTAAAGCATTAAAATGTAACCAATTCACAAATGAACAAATACCATTCCAAATGTTTGCCATATACACTTGAATTGTCTGGCAAACAATAAAAGTACTTTTGTTTCATTTTGTTTTAAATGACTTCAGACTTTTTACTACAGACATTGTAAATTATTTTATTTAAAATTTCTACAAAAATACTGCACTTTCACACTCACAATTTCCTCTGATGAACTTCCTAGAACCTTCCAAAGATATTCTGTGATACTAACAACTTGTAATATTTCAGGTATAAAAACAAAAAAAGTAACGAAAAAATATACCAATAAAAGAAAAAACATTTCTCAGCACATTACATCTAGAGAACAAATAACAACAACAGTTAACAAAATAACATAAACAAAAAGTAGTAACAAAATGTTGAAATAACAACAAAATAAAAACCACCATACTAAAAATTAATTATGGCACTGCTTAGTGTGATTGGCTACTGGGGAGATCAGTAGCCAATATGTACAATTACTATCTGAAAATATTATTTGATCCTGAATATGCAAATGAAGGGTGATGGTAAAATATGGACAATGATAGTTTATAATCCCACACAGTTAAAACAGCCCACAATGGCCTTTAAAATTATTGTACATGAAAGATGAATACGCAACTAAATGTCAATAAATTAAAAACTTATAAAATAATATGCCATCTATTTTTCAAATAAAAATAATGTTTATGTGATTTGTGTTTACTGAGATGCGTGAGTACGCCAGACATTTGAAATGAATAGGATGATCTTAATACACAGGAATTACTTTTCACTAAACACCTTGCTCCACAAAATCATTTTTTATGAAATCACCTGCTAAAATTGTTTGCAAAATGCAATAACTATAATGGCCTGTTATCATAATTTATACATTTCTAATGCACAGATTCCATACTGATATCTTCAAGCGCGCAGTACATTATTGTCCCAACATGCTTAGGAACACCAGGTTCTATATTTGCCGCTGAACTCAACGCAGTAGCAAACAAAAAAATCCAAACTTGAGTCACCAGTGTTAGCTCTTTAATTTTAACAATAAATAAAATAACATAAACCAAAAATAAATCAGTTATAAAATAGACAAGAAAAAAATATAAAATTCTATAAGAAAATTATTTCTTGACAAAAGATACAAAAGTTATGATTATTAACAGAGATAAAATGAAAAAGATCAAGAATGTTGTGGCAAACAAAACATGCAAACATTTCTCAAAAGCATGCCACCTCAGCTGTGTCATCGTTCTAAACACGCTACCTACCCAGAATTTCTCCATCACAAGCTAAAAAGAGGAGTTTCAAAAAGAAATACAATCAACAAGCTGACATTAAAAACATAAACGCAATTACTCTTCTACTGCTACGAACACATGGCAAGAAACACACACACGTATCCCAGTGGCAGTACAAGAATTTGATCAATTAGGGCCAGGGTGCAAGTCATCCAAAAGGGTGCCTAATAATTGCCAGAAATGAAGACTCCTGCTGCCTATGTTTTAGAATGTATCCGATGGGAGGCTTCTACACACAATGGAAGACTTGAGCCCCCTTCCACTAACTGGTGCTGCCACTGACGTATCCCTACACACACATCCTCACATAATCTCAAATACTTTCATCTGGTTTCTGTGATATACAGTATGAACATGGACAAAATTCTTGTAAGTAAACTATAAAATGTATGTATTTTTTGTGATGGTTTGATCCGTTATCAATGGATCTTCATTACACAATGACTGGGAAACGTCAACAACTAGCAAACCAGTCATTTACTGATCAAGATCCAATGACAATGGATCAAAACATCACAAACAGTACGTACATTTTATGGTTTACTTACAGGAATTTTGTCCATGTTCATATCCTCACATACTTATTCATTTCTCTACACACATTCCTAAAACAGCAACCTACATATGCACATTCCACACACATCCCAAAAAACAATCTTACAACTCCTCTACATACCACTACACCAAACAGAGCTCATCCTTCGATGCACATTCATAAACCTTCCAAAAAAAAAAAAAAAAAAAAAAAAAATCAAGTTTATAATGTTTAGCAGAAATAAGTATCCTTTGCATTTAAGCACTAATGAAACTGCAATAGAACTGTTTTCCATCCCTAAAGAATATATTTTTATAATGTAATATTTGCAATAAACAAAACAGTGCAACACAAAATAGAAACAGTGACAGGCTGCTATATTGCAAATTATCACATAATCCATGTATTTCATCCCAGACTAGGCTATAGCCATACTGTAACATAACAGCAGCCAGTCAATATGGCCCAAGTGCGTGCCACAGCCATAGTAACAAGCTGTGCTGCCACCAAGAGTTCAGTACTTGGGGAACGCGGAAACAAGATAATGACACCCACTTATGTAAACAATTGTGATAGTTGGAATCATGATACATCCAGACTGGATACATCTAATACGACAGGATAAATAGTTTGTTCAAGATTTCAAGCATAAAAGCTAAAGGGTTGGGAGAAGGAAAGGAGAAAGAACATTACTAAACTCATGCATTAAAATAATTATCATTTACAGCTAAAGCAAAATTTCAGTTTTAATCAATAGTTTATACCTATTAATAATAATGTAACAATATTCAGTACATTGCCATGCATACTCACAAAAATGTATTAATATTAATTACAACAATTATAACTTATAGCAAAAAAAAACCATATTTGAATTGCATGTAATGTAATAATTGCCTCTGGCTGTATATGAAAATGTTTATAATGAAACCTCAATGTAAATGCATGTTAAACAAGATGGAGAGATTTCCCAGGTTGTCAGCAAAGCTGATATAAGAATTGCAGCATCTAGTGCTACTTAGTAAATGCCTTCACACGTAAAAAGTCAGTGCATGTGATGGTGATGATGATGATACTGTAGTAATAATAACAATGATGATCATTATGAGAGAAGATGAATATTAAGATGAGGATAGTAATTATGATGATTACGATGATGATGATGCCTATGGTTATGATGATGATGATTATGATAATGAAGATGATGATGACTATGATGTTCATAAGGATAATGATGATCATAGCTGCCGATTCTACCTAAGTGATCAGTTTTGGTGACAAATAAAATTCTGATACACTTCAATTCTAGTGACAGCACCAGTCATCCCTAATCAGGTTTGGTGACAGCATCATAAATGGTGATGTCAACAAAACTGATACTTATCAGATCTATTAGGCAGAATCGAGTGATCATGGTGACAATGACAACTATGATGATGTTGATGATGGGGATTATAATTACTATGATGTTGAGATGATGATGATGACAATGATGATTATGACTACGATGATTTTTATGATTATGATGACTACGCTGATGATGAAAATGACAATGGTAATAAGGATAAACTTTTTAGACTTAAGAAAAACTCCAGTGATTTGGAAAACTCAACCCTTGGTTTGGGAGGGGAGCATCTTAACTGCCATACTATATCTACACTCACACCCACTGCTTGCCCTTTCTTTAACTTTGTCAATGTTTGGAGATTTTTTAAGTGAATTGAGAAACAAACCTTTCCCCTTTTTTCACAAATTAACAGAACTCGGTCAAATAGAAAGCAACTGCTACTAACAGCCCTAGAAGAAAAAAGAGAAAACATTTATTTATTTATTATATCAAAGCCCTGTACATTAAAATCCATTTTGACAAAGATAAAAGCTAATTACAATAAAAAATAAACAAATAAAAGAACAAATATGAATTATACAGTACATCATTAGAATTTCCTACAAATATTGCCAGTTAACAATATAATTGCAACAATAAAATACATTGCATATGAAAAATTAAAAAATCTTCCATAATATTTTGATTAATTTGATTTATTAACTTTTTTTTGTTATAACTTCTACCAAGGACGGCCTGTCTGTTGGCGTGTCTGTCTGTTTGCAGAATTATGCAAAAACAAATGGATCATCATAAAGTTAAGTGAAATGGTAAATATTGATGTAAGGAAAATTAAGGTCAAATAACAAGTTAAAGGTCACCGAAATTTGAAAATGTTTCTGAATATACCCATCGAGCATAAAAAAAAATAATGAAATTGCCAATATTATACAGTATTCAGACAGAGACAGGGCAAAGCAGGGTTTAAGCTGTTGCTGGCCAAATTGCCAAAATTATTTTCATTCACAATTCGCCAAAAAGCTAATGAATGAAAGTTATATGTGTATGTTATGTACATGGATATTGAGTAAAATTGGTAAGTGAAAAACTTTACCAATAGCAATCACTATAAACGGTTAAGTAGTTGGGCGAAAATTTGGCCTACCAAGGCCTGCTAGGCCTAGACCAGCTAGGATCAGCTCGCGAAAGCCTGCTAAAGCGATTTCTTTAGAGGTCCGACTCTCAGGGTTTTGTTGGAACACAATTCCAATCTCAAAAAAAGTACTACAACAAACTAGAGGGTGTCCTTCAAAAGAACATAAAAGTTGTTTATAAATAGGGCACCACCTACCTTGTGGTAGTACCTTTTAACGTTTCATTACGTGTACACAAAATCAGGGCAGTCAACTTCTTGCAATTCTATACTCTTTGGTGAGACTCTGTACTCTATTCTTGATGAAGCTCACATGATTATAATCCGTCCCTTGTTTGTTTGACTAATCAAAACTCAAATTTGGCTAATCATTTTCATTCCAAATAAGCCAAATTGCTAAAAAACTATTTTTTGCCAGCTTAAACCCTGGCAAAGGTATGCATTATGGAGTGATTTCACACTAGTATTTTTCTGAGTATACAGTCGTTCATTTTGGAAAAATATTTTACTTACCCTCTACCACCTCGTAACATCTTGATCCTCAGATCACCGTCTTTTTGTATCCTTCCAAAATCGTTTAATGATGCTCCATGATAATTGACCAAACTACACGTAGTCAAGAAAACGCAAACACATTTCACTATTGTGTTAATCATGTGTAGCCAGTTGCTAGCATAACGGAAGTTGGGTAAAGATATGTGAATAGTAGCACCAGTTATTGTAGATGTGGCATAGCAATAGTAGTATTATTAAATTATTATTGCCTGATATTCAACCTATTATTGGTGTTTTTACACTGTTGGTTGAGAATAAAGAATAAAGTAGCAGTAATACAGGTGGTGCTGGTGGTGTTGGTAGTAGCAGAGTTGGTAGCAGCAGTGATAATAGTGGTTCTAAGATATACAATTAGAGCGTTAAGACCTTTTTACAGTGGCGTCGTTCTGGTGGTGAATTAGGCAGTACAACATAAGACAATCGCCATACTCTTTACAGCATATGCCATGTTGCACAAAGAACATTTTATCCGAAAATCCTACCTGGATTTTGAGACTTAAAGCTTATAGTTTTTGTGCATTTTTTGACTTGATTATTGTCTTCTTAGGTACATATGTGCTGTACTTCAATGGGTGACAGGCGAGTGCTTTTTAATTATTTTTTTTTTACTTTATAACGCAATAATTAAACATTTGTGATCTTCATTGTTACTAGGTAGGCTAGCTTAGGCCTAAGCTTGATTGGGTGAGTGATTCAACAGTTACATGGGTTGATTTCAGGGCCCTTGCTGATATTAAAAAATGAAAACGTCATAAACAGCATTGATTTTTCACTGCCAATGATTTTTTTGCCAACATACTTTTTTATCAATTATAAGGGCTGATACGTACATGTTAAAAACATAATTTCCTACAACCCTTGTGTTAGTAATTTTCTCACATAACCTATTCTACAACGTTCACTAATTTTTGCAAAGGTTATAACATTTTGTGTTTCCTAAGAGGCTAATCCAGATATTTGATAAGGACTATATTATTGAACATTTATTAAATGGTTGTACTTTTAATACATGGTTTAGTCAGTAGCACCCAATGAAGAAGAATAACACATTGCATTCCTCAACATGCTTTTTTTTTTACCTTTTTTCCATTTCTGCATTAGTCTGCATGATTTCGTGGTCTCGCTTCACCTCATTTACATATAGAGACAGATCCTGCATCTCCTCCAAAGCTTTGTCTAAGCCTGCTTTGTCTGGGTGGTTCCTATCTGTGTGTTTTATTAATTCCTATTGGAAAAATGTCAGCAGATGTTAAACTCAGGTCACACTTCCAAAGTTTCATGTGACAAATTTGTCTGATGTGCCCATATGTGGGCATGATAATGTCATATTACAACCAAATATGGGCATACCACATAAAGCTTCAACAAGTTAAACTTTGTAAAAGTACAATATCAAAATGAATTGTTGGTTACGGCATTTACAAAACAAAAAGACTGAACAAATACAGAATTTCTAGCATTTCATTAAATTTAAAAATATTTTTTACCCTATTTATCTTAAAATTTATAGCATGAAAAGTATCTAGAAATTGTTAGCTAAATTGTAGATGACAATTTAAAAAGGCATAGCAAATATAGCTTAGAGTAAAAAAACAAATATTTATTTAACCATGTAAAGTGTATTACAATAATGCTTATATATTATATTGCAGATATTTTTTAATGTTTTCCAAAACATTTAGTAGCTTTCCTCCAGCTAGGCTGATATACAGCAGAGGGCGTACTTCAAAAGAAACAGAAAAAGTATTATCCAATTAGACTTCAATTCAGAGGTAGTTCACACACTTGAAGAAATATAGTATATTTTTCATACATACCCGAAGTAGAAGGTGGTATTTAAGTATTCTTTGCATAGGAACATTAAGTAGATCCCGTAGTGAAAACTTATTTTCATTATACTTCATCTGGCACTCCTGCACAAAAACAAATTTAAATAAGAAATCTGATTTTTTTTTTTTTTTTGCATGATCATGACATCATGATTGAATATTTCATTGCTAGGCCAAGCTATGAGCGCACACAGAGAAACCTACCAAATCTCGCTCTATGATGCTGGTTAGCAGGAATAAAGCCTAGACTATGCTAGGCAGTCCTAGAAAGGCATAATAGTTATGAAATAACAAGCTGATTGACTTATGAAAGAACTGAAAAAATAAGGCAACGCAGAAATAATTCATATTATAAAGTCAATCAACGTCATCACTGCAACTCCCAATGTTATTTGCCTATCCTCTAGAGTCCAATAATTTTTCTATTAGTGGACGCTTGGCTTGATTTTTTTTAGGTTCATGTGCAAAAAAAATTCCTCAATATTTCGTCACCGCGAAGACATTGCGCACCGCGATAAAAAATTTAATTGTAAGTGAAAATTACTTTCGTAAAACAAGCTTAATTAGAATCCAAAGAAAGTTACTTCAAATTCAATATTAAGTATAAACATTAAGGAATTCATTGAATCAATGGACCCTCATAAACAAAACAAACTGAACGTTTAACAGGAATATTCTAAACCTAGTAATGACTCAAGGAACAAAATTAGAAGTAGGCCCCTACGGCCAGGCAGGAGGCCACCGAGGCCACCGAGGCCTCCTCCTACTACTGTAGGCCGTAGCCTAGCCTAGTTATGAAATCATCGCATGATTTTTACCTGTCTGCATGCACCGACCAAAAAGGTATTCTCTCTCTAATGCTGAAATGTTTATTCCTTTGAAGAATGCCTATCAAAAGAGCATTACAAACAGATTCTTTCTAACACAATACAAATTACAATAGTTATTCATCGTAACTGTACTGTACTGCTAATGTGTAGTTAAAGCGTACTGTAGGAGCACAAATCAGCATATGCACAGCTAAATGTAAATACGCACACAGTATACTGATCATATCACATAGCAACCGATGACTGCTACAACAGTCAGTTATAAAAAACTATTAAAAGATGGCAATTGACTTATAAAGTAATTAGTAGATCATGCATCGTACACTAACAGAAAATTATTACATTTAGGTTAGATTTATTGCATTTGAAAATTTCCTTTGAGCCTTGCATGCCCTCAGGAAATTTTTTCAAGCATTAAATCTAACTTTTTTATAACAATTTTCCTATAGTGTATTATGCGGAGCTCTACCAATTGCTTAATAATGTTTACAATACATTTTAATCTATTAAACAAATGTCTACCAGGAGGTCAGGCCTACATAACAGTACCAAATAATCTTCATTAACCACAAACAATTTATTTATCTTCTTTCTATCACAAAGAGCTGCAAAGAGCTGTATGAAGATAGTCAGTGCGTGTACTACTAACAAATCATTCTAATAAATGCATACACAGTGATCACTGAGCAACCGACTACGGAAACCTGAACTATGGATTTATGATATATAGTAGTATGCTCTATAACCAGCAGTTTGATTAAAAGGTGATAAATGTCACAATTGACATATAAAGTAAATATAGTCAAGTAATTTAATACACTATAGGAAGTAGAAGCCTACTGTATGTAATTACAGTCAGGTTTTGAGTAAACTATTTAATAGTGTACTCCCAACCTGACTATAATTACATAATAGTGCAGAGTATTACAGAATTTGTTGCTTATGAAATACCTCTATTTTCCTGGAGATGGCACTGCTTTTACAAACTTCATCAATGTGTCGCTGTGCATTGGTCAGGAATGAGCAGTAGAAGCCATAAATGAGAAACTTGTCTTTGTGCTTGATAAAAACATTGCTCATGTTATGCGTTCCGTTATCTCGTGATCTATACAATTCCCTAGAAAACTTAAAGTGTCTGCTATAAAGTTCCTACAATGAAATCAAAGACAGTGGACAAAAATTTTAAACTTCTGTCAGCCAATACACAAATAGTAGAGGTACAGAAAAAAAATCGGTTTTTACTGTAGAAAATATTTCGTGACTGGAGTGTAAAATAAATTAATACAATATCCACCAAACCCGCAACCTTAAAAATGAGATCTAGTCGCTTGATAGCACCGTTACCTTACAGCATGATCAAAGTGTTATCGCTGGTCCAGGCCCATAACCATGAGAAGGGGGAGGGTATAGGGGCAGGGTGGTTTCCAATAGGCCAAGTTTAGCTCAGAAATGTTTCTTTAATATACAAAGATATGATAAAATACTACTACTACAGTAGTAAACCTGTCAAAAAGTGGAGTTTGCCGAAGCCCCCAAAACCCCCTGTTTACAGGCCTCTGATCTACTCACTGACCAAAGGGTTTTAACAATTTGTGACCTCTGTTGACATACATAGAGGGTGCGGTATTATAAAATTATTCTTCTGGGTTGTACTTTGTCATACATGGTTTACTTTATGTTAAAGAAGTTTACCATTGCTGTGGAATCCCACAATGATTATCATCATTCCCTACCAAATGTGGCACTCAATTTAATGAATGTTTCCAAAAACAAACTTTTACTGTTGTAGTAGCCGTCTTCCTCAGAGGACACATAGCCTAGTACATGTTTAATTTGGTTGTGTTTTTTAGATAATAAACAATTTTTGGAAAATGATAATAATACTATACAATGACGACAAATAAGGTTTGTGTTACGATCTAGGCAACTACGTAGCTTCAATTGGCCGATGTTTCAGGCCTAGGTTGGTTAGTAACTAGGCCTAGCTATAGTACCAAATGACTAGGCCTAGGCTAGGCGTCTAGCCCTACCAAGGGCCCCTCCTAGTCAAGAAAGTCAAGACAATTCACAAATACAATCGTACGTAGGCAAGGCCTTGACAAAAATAAATATTGTACAAACAAATCTGCTATGTACCTTGGTTTGACAACGTAAGTAAAATTTAGTTTCTGTTATGGCCAGTTTCAGTCAAAGTTTTGGCTTGCCACCCATTCATACAGTTATTGAAGCTAAGAAATCCTAGGCCTAGGCTGGCAAAAAATTGCAATTCTTTACTGTGGCAATTCCGAATGCTGTGTATATAAATGATCCTAAATGTGTTTCTCAATGTTTAAAAAAGATGTACTGACTCATTTGTAGACTTTCTTTTATGTACAAGACATAAACTGAAACCGAATACTGTGCAGAGATATAAATCATGGAGCAAAAAAAAAAAACATTTCTTTATTACTTATTTAATTTTTTTATTTTGTGTGTGATAATTATCATATAGGTTGCTCTCTAATTAAGGACCCTTCCATTTAAAAACCACCTCCTTAAAAAGACTACTTTGCTGTGGTCCCAAATTAGCAAATGTCTTCTATCTCTATTATTCTAATTAGAGTCCAAAGCTGTAAGATTATTGGAACTTTGGCCCCAAAAATGGAGGGAAACCTGTATTTGAAAAAAAAACAAAAAACAAAACAAAAAAAAACCACACATCTTCACTGTAAAAGGGTGAAAAACGCATTAGAACAAAGAGGGTGAAACTGGTGGGTCTGGCCCTCACTGCGATGCATTTATGTCTGTAATTGTTTAAATTAAGCATTTAAATACATAAAAGACCATAGATGTTGGGGTTCACCACCATCACTCTTTAGACCCAACCATTTGGGGTCCCGGCAGCTGAACTCTTGGTTGCCCTGGAAAAAGGTATAAAGCTTGGGAAAATGTATGCCAACGATGAGTCCCACAACTACTGTAGGCCTTGATAGTTATCACGATGGCAAACAATCCATAAACAATTATAAATGCCATGCATATCATATTTTAAATAGTATTATATTAAAATTACCTCTATATTCAAAAATATCTTTTTCCTGTCTTCACTACTTAAAATTGTACTTAGTGGTCTGATGAATTTCTGTAAAAAAAAAAAAAAGAAAAAAATCATAATATTAATCTTATTAAATACAGCAGCCTTGAAACTGTGTGCAACCCAAAGGCAAGTCAGTTAGAAATATTTTTGTAAATTTAATGGGTTGCTCAATCACAGTACAAAAGCATGGTCTAAAAAAGATTTGAAAAATGTGAAAACACAACAAATTTCTTACAGATTGGCTTTATACTTGTACCATACAAAGCACATAGAAAAAACTCAATTCCTTTTGTTGAAAAAAAATTATTTTACCATTTATAAAATGGAATTAACTACTTCCCATAAAACAATGTTGTGATATTATATAATAGATTATTAGTGTTACACTATCAAATAGTGTGCTTATTTACTTATAATAAATAGTACTCTCCCAATTCGAACAGGGGTCTCCCAGATTTTCATGTAATTTCCAGGTCTCCCAAAATTTTGTTTTCCATACAATCATTACACGCTATCGCTGACAGCTTTCAGGGATGTATACTGCAGTAATGTAAACAAATTGGGTATATACTTCATGTAATTATGAGGAAGAACTATACATTTTTAACAATCAAAATATAGTAAATAATCCCTCTAATTAAAGACCACCTCCTATTAAAGACCAACTTTCTGCAGTCACAAATTCACAAATGTCTTTTATCTTTATTCTAATTTTAGAGACAAAAGTTGCTAAAGACCATAGAAACCCTGGTACCAAAAGTGGCCTTTAATTGACCTGTAGTCTCTAAATTACTGAATTTTTTTTATTTACTATATCAGCTCCTCTACTTTAAAATATGTATATGTATAAAAATATCACTAAAAATAAAAATAACCGTAAAAACAAACAAATAACACACACCCAAACAATATCAACAGTACTGTTGATGCTACAGTACTAATTGAAATACTTTGCACAATATCAAATTTACTATTTTTCACTTTCATATAATTCTTTCAAAGATTCATAAAATAAATAGAAAAAATAAATTATCTTACAGTAACTAGGTTGTCTAGGGCCTCAACATATCGTTCTTCTGTATCAACAATCTCGTCTACACAGTATTTCCTTTTGTCTAGCTTTTTTGGCTGAGGGGATAAATATGAATATATGTATTAAGATAGAAACTAGATATCAGATAAGTTAATTGTGTGAATAACAAAAAATCAAATATGAAAAATAATGATATACAAATTACTATTCATTTAAAAAAATGTATTACTTGAACCATAAGTTCAAACAGCTAAATGTTCCAATTATTAACTTATACAGTATACATACACTGACTTTTATATACAATTTATTTCTACAGTATTTCTGCTATATTATTTGCAAAGTAACAAAACAATTAAATGGAATGCGATAATACTTGTCTACTATTACGTTATAAGCCCCTGCTTCTTAATAGGTGGCCCGCAAAGCACTTTATCTTGCTCCTCTAAGGGTCTGGTCGTGTGTGAGCTACTCCGTAAAGCAGTACCATCTACTCTCATATGTCCATGCCCCCCTCCCCTTATAACCGCTTGGCCATTTGAATTGAGATCATCAACAAACAAGAAATATTTCTTAAAGTGCCTTCATCTTTTGGCAAAATATTTAATCAATCTTATGGTTTCAATGAATACTGTGTCCTACAATATTGAAGTGCTCAAAGATAAAAAAATTAATTTGAAATGACAAAAAGAAAGAATTTCAGCTAGCAGGGGACTTCGGTCAATGTACCTAATAGTTTTTATAACAGGTCCATGAAGTATAACAAATTGCTTACAACTCTGAGATTATCTTTGGCTCATTAGACAAACTCTAACATATAATTTGGCAATTCAAATAAATAAATTAAGAATTATGGTTTAATAAGCCCATCATACAAATGGAGGTTTAAAATAAAAGTTAATATTTACCGGATCGTCACTTTTTTCCAATTTTCTTCTTATATTCATTAAGTCAGCATAGACGTCTTCATTCTCATCATCACCATCCATTGTTTCATAAATTTCTCCCTCATCGGCAATATCATGCTCACTAATAAAAAAACACAAAAACTTAATTATTATCACATCAACATTATTATTAATATAATGACATTTGGTAAATAATCGATTTATTTATATGAAAATGGTATTTGAACCAATTAGGAAATGTTATTAGAGTGGATATTATTTCTGATATTATTAATTGTACAAATTGACAGGATGGATAACCTAACCTCTTAAAGAGCCGAGGTTCTTTTGTGGTTAATGACAATTCCTTAATAAATCGCAAATATATACAGTATGTCCTATGAATTTAAATTGTACTTTGTAATTTTATCACTTTCAGAGTTTCGGAGTGGACCACAATGGGCTTTCTTTTGCCCTTGTCTTACTCTCAACACACCTTGTCATCTCATCAATATATTTTGTTCTATTCTTATATAAAATGGATAGTAAATAAATGAATACTTCATAGGAACCAATAATATAAACAAACAATAACAATAAATTAGAGTAATTAAAAAAGAAATTAAAATCAAATGTATAAATAGTATACATACTCAGCAAGTTCTTCGAGGTTCTTATATATCTGATCATCATCACTATCTGGTCCTTCAATGGTAAAACTAAAGCAATATTGAACAAAAGTATAGTAATTAATTTCCTTTTACTAAGTTCATTAAACATTTTGTTTCACCTGGAATAATAATATCAATAATAATTAATAACGATAGTCAATAAATCATTGACAGTCACTGAGCAAAATATGTCATAATACAGTACATTTATCTTAGCAAAATATTGGTCTCAGGTAGGCACTTGACCTGGCCGACTGATTTCACTGCTGTTGGAAGAGTGGAGTTGCAGTTTGGAAATTGAAATGGTTGCAAAATATCAAGATTTTCTTATAACCAAAACAAATGCACACTTCAAGTCACATAGTGTTGGTAAGAGCCAAGGGGGACAAAATGATTGGCTGTCAGCAAAGCATCTAGCTTCTATTATCAGCTCTCAATTCTCACCCCCAGTATTGATTAGCATCAACAAGTGTTGCACCCTCCAAAGATGTATTGTATTGTTTTGACAACATAGGTATGGTGCTCGTGATTTTGTATTTAATGCTGTAGTACACGCTGCCTTGAGTTTTTCCCTGAACAATGAGACTTGGCGTGTGCTTTTTAACCGCAAAGAACAGGCGCATTATAAATGCCAATACCAGTACCAGTTTTGTATGTCATAAAATACATTAAAATCAATTAAAACATTGAATATAGTACCTCGCAAAAGCATCAATTTTTTATGTTACCAAATTCCAATGAAACAAAGACTATTAAAAAATATTTTCACTGTTTTACAGACTTTTACGACAAAATGATAAGGCAATTTAAGGATCTATGCCAAAGAATATAGGAATCATTTATAATAACTCTGTAAGCAAGAAACTTTAATTCAATTGAAAGCAAAGAATTTAGCTCACTTTACAAACTACATTTAAATATTTAATTTATTTTTGTTTTTGTTTTCTTTTTGTTTATCTTGATATATCAGGCCTGATGTTACCGTCAATATTAGCAAGAGGCGGCCACAAAGTATTCAATTAACTTATAAGCCATGAAACACTCCCACCTAGGGCTGAAACATAGCGTGGAGCCACTTCAGATGCCTGAGCACGCTCATCTTGGGCCACTCCAGCATATTTCCCACCTAAAATTTTACCTTGCCCCTCACTTGCCTCCCCCACCCCAGATTTGAGAATCTGGCGCCGCCACCGATATTAAATTCCTGCACTCAATGGTGGAAATTAAACCAGGGTTCTAACCAGCAATGGGGTGGGATGTTTAAACAATTACAAAACTCACGGTGATGCGATTGCTGCAGCTTCTCTGGTCCTTGATAAAAATGATAATGTTTTGATGACCTGAAACAAAGAATAACATTAATCAATCAACATCAAAACATAAAATACAATCTTATTATTAAAACCATCTTATTTAAACTTCATTAGGAAAACAAATATTTATTTGTAATACAATATTATCAGCTGTAGAGTTTTGGAATTAAAAACAAATATCAACTTGTTGTACAGTAAAGTACTGTGTATTGATATTTAGTCTATAATGATGTGATGATAACCTATAGAAGAGCAAACATTCTGAATATTTGTAAAAGGAAAACCACTAAATACAGTATAAGTTCCTGTTTACAAGACTTCTATGCCACTAAATCAATAGTGCCTACATAGCAAGATATATTTGCTTGTTGCTTCACAGTTTTTCAATTTCAAACGTGACAGCAGATTTGTGACAAAGTGTTGAGAAAGGGTAGGTTTTGAAGGATCACTGCTTTTAAGGGGAGTGACTTAATGAGAATGGGAAGATGTACTGTATGCCAATGTTTTTTGAAGCAGACCACCAGAGAATATCAAATAATATAGCATTTCTTACAGAATGTATGATTTTTTCAATGAATGTAAACCATATACATTTTACTATTTTGTGCTTCCTTAAATATTCATGTAATTATTTTCTGCTTGTGGGAGGTGCAAACAGGAGTATTTAAATATTTAAATCGGTTGTCATTATATTATACTCATTAAATTGTTCCATCTGTTCGAGTGCTTTTTATGTATGCAAAAATGTTACTATGAAATTATACATAAGAAATTTACTTACTGCTCCAAAATCGGAAACATCATAGAGAGCTTGAGCAGGAAATAGTTGGCTTTCTTTCAAGTTGAATGTTTTTGCACAGGCTTCCAGGAATACACGTATGTTTTTTAAACATGAAAACTATAGAAAAATAAACAATGAATAAATTTGGTAATCACATATCATTATTTTAATTACAGTATTTATTTAACATATGTTTATATCATAATTTCTATCATCACATTAACAAAATAATAATTATCTTCACCAATAAATATATTGTTGGGTGGTATTTTATGATTGACCTACAGGTACTACATATTGGGTTTTCTAGTGGGATCACAATATAGGAAAACTAGAGTTGAATAGCTTGGTGGTTAAGATGCTTGCCTTCTAATCCCAGGGTCATGGGTTCAATTCTAGTCAGTGTTGCATTTTTTTTAACCCACCCCCTAAACCTCATATTGATATTTACTTTGTGTATGTTTGTCTTATGCAAGGGATTGTCACAAGTACGACAGTGATATTCGCTATTGACAATCCTTAGTGCATGTGTTGTGTGCCTATAAATAAATAAAAGATATAAATAAAAAACAGAACCAATTCAAATCCATCTCCACTCGGTGAGCGCTTGACTATCTGTTACTATCTGTGGACTCTCGGTGATAGTCTGAATGGATCAATGCTAAAAGCGATCTGTTGCGCACGCCTCTTACACAGGCTGTACTAGCTCTGCATACCTTAGGTATACTAACATTATGAGTGGAACATACACTACATCACATTATATTAATCATTCTCTACATCAAAAAGTATAAGAAACAAAAATAGCAATAAGATTTTGGTATAAATACATTAAAAGAAAAAAAAAACACTTAAAAATGAACAAGATTTTGACTATAGTATCATTGGGTTATTTTCATGTCCAATTGATGGGTGCAGTACACCGGATACATATATCATTAACAAAAAAAAACTAAGGAAAAGTCTCTAGGCATTATGCACAATGTAAAATGGAACATTACAGTTTAAAGCATTACATATATGAGAAAATACAAACACAAAAGAACTTCTTAAAATTTAAAGGTTTATTACACACTTGTAAAATTAAGACTACAGAACAGTATGCTTTGGGTGCCAAGGAAGCATGCATGTAATGATCAACCCAGAATTTTAACTTTTCAAATTTCAGAAACACACAAAAATCAGATAAAAATTATTGAGCAAAACTTTGCATATTGAAACAGCAATCCACAAAAGAACAAAATACCAATTTTATCATGAATCAAGATTTCTAACTAAATAACAGGTAAGGAAATTTCCAGTAAGAAAACTTGTAAACAAAATTAGCTCCTAACTAGTACAGTAGTACCTGTGCAATGTATGTATATAATAGTGTTACCTGCAGTTAAAATTCCACAAGCTTAAAACAATATCCAGAGATTAATCTTATCCAATTTGAATCAACATATTACTTTTTAATAGAAAACAAAGTGGTTGGACAGTAATGCCCTGGCAAACATGTAAAAGTCAGAATTTTAAAGATGTATTATCCCATGGTATTCATACCAAAGAAATCATAAAAAATATTTTTTTTAATTAACTTGCCCATTTTGAAGTAACATAAAAGTTATCAACTTGTACATAGAAATTAGAGTATTTAAAAAATGTCTGCCCATCAGTTTACAGCGAAAAATGATAGAAACACTTCCAGTCACTGAAGTGGTTTTATTATTTTTATTATAATTTTTTGGTTTAAAAATCAGGGTACACATTTTTAAATTCAATAATTTTTATGCACAAGTTAATAATTTGTATGCTATTACAATATGAGCAAGTTTATTTCAAAATTATTTTTTTATGATTTTTTGACATAATAGCAAGGGACAATACATCTTTAACTGTAGTATCCACTATTTATTGAGATTTCTTATAATTGTTTATGTTCTGTTTTGTTTTAACCTATAGTATGATTTTTATAATATTTTGATATACCATGTTGGATTTTTTTATTACCTAATTTCTTTTGGAAAATGAACACAAAGAACTAGCCTGGGCACTTTTCTTTCCTAGTGTAGAATATTATATTACACTGTGATCATGTTATCTAGTTAACTCAGGTGCTGAATAGTCCCAAATGGGTACACAGTCACTCTTAAAGTAACAACTCACAGAAGGAGTAAGGAAACAACAACAGTTTAAAAATAATTTTATAGCAAGCAATAGGCAAATTATTAACGGGGTATATCTTATTTTATGTTGTTAGGCAATACTGTAGTTCCATATGAAGATCCTGGGAATAAGAACCCTGGGTGATATTAAAAACATATTTGACGAGATGATCATGTCAGTTTAAGCTCTTTTGGGAGATCTCGTAAAATGAGCTTTCTCAAACACGTCTAGTCATAGTTTCTTGTGCTTGATGATATCCACAGCCAACTAACAGGGAGACAATTTGAGGGTCCCTAATGATCAGCTACGGCTGGATGGACCACCCTCATTTAAAGATTGTTGAAATAAAAAAAAAAATAAAATAAAAATTGATAGCATTGTACAGCAGTTACAATTTTATTAAAAAACTTGAATTTGTTGGAGATTGGTTGGTTTCTGGTAATCTTTTTATTGCTTGCGGGAGGGTGAGAAACCATGTTGATTTCCAAGAGGCTCTTGTGAAAGGGTAGGAAACATGGGACCCCTGTAATTTGATAGTTCTTGCGGAAATGATGACAACCTTAAACATCATTACCCATAATAACAAAGCAAGCTGTATGTAATAGGTAACAGTACTGTAGATTGATCTGTTTCCTGGTTCACGAGATCACATACACAGTACATAGGCAAATGGCATGTCAAGTGTTTAGATTAGCCGAAGGGAAAATCCCCAGCATGGAATAAATACCAGCTAGTTATATAATGGTCATTACAATGAAAATAATTAATATCACACAGTACCATAAGCATTGCTAGTCCACTATTTTCATCTCAGAAAATAAAACTATGCATAATTATCTAATATGAATTGGAATATATTTATCATTACATGTTTAACATTGATTAAGTAGGTCATTTTATTATTTCCTTAAAGGAAAACCTCAGGTTATAATATAGGTTTAAAATGAAAATTTAAATGATGATATTGTACTGTATTTTGACTTTTGTTCATGGATCCTGCCTTATCATTTTTGGTTTTAATGTGGGTTTTTTCTATACTGTGCTTTTATCACACCAATAAAAACTCATTCATTGTTTAATGACCACCATTGTTTTGCTTAACAATAGAAGACATGCATCAAAATGTCAATTTTAAGGTCAGACATTATTGGTTTGATAAAAATAATGTTTTGTCTTTCACCAAACCAGATGAACTATTGTAAGTTAATATTTGTATTAATAGAAAGTATCTTAATATTGTAGGCCTACTGTACTGTGCTGACATTTTGACAAAAAAGGAATTTTTTATCTTGTCAGAATACAATACAGTATTTATTCTAATAAACACCTCACTTGAATAAACGCCCTCTAGAGCCTCATTTAGAATAAACGCCTCCCTCGAAAAAACTTGGGTGTTTATTTCAGAAAAAAAAAATAGCTATATTCAAATCTAATGGAAACAGGATGGGATTAATATTCATCAAGTGTTTCACATTTACAGCAAAATTAAGGGGCATGTATTTTGAGTACTTTATATTTACGCAACCATTTTACAACAACAAAAAAATAAACGCCTTTCTCGAATAAATTATACAGTTACTTATTATGTATCACAAAAACAAATACATCTACAAGACCATTTAAGTTCTATACCTGTGTCTATTTTAAATCTTTTTTTTTTTTACTGTAAAATATAAAATTACTTATTCATTCAAATAATTTAATATTTTTTATGTGTAAGCTTTTACACAAGAAACTATTTTTTTACCTGGTATAAAAAACATGTACAAAGGGAAGAGGATGTCAATGCATATACTCTTTCTAAAAACATCTCAAGAGTGACAACAATGAACATAATTGTGTAACAGGAGTTCAAAGGAACATGGAGGATAGAACATGGCGGAATCAATTCCTCCATGAAACATTGGAGTAGAGGTTTTGTACTCTTTTGAATGAACTGATGAAAAAAACTAATGACGCCTTAAATACAGTAACACATTGTGTCACCAAGTATGAGGAAGGGGCAACTAGAGAACTTTACAACTATTACAAGCCTTGCCCCCGGCCGTCCTCTATTATTTGTGGCTACCAAATATTTCAATTTCACCCAAGGCCTCTAAATTCCCTCAGCTGCCTTTCTGACAGACAACACGCAAGTTCTTCAAAAATTTCCTATCAGTCATTCCATGCTCTTTGTCTTTGAAAGTTAAGTAATTATAAATAAGCTTAAAAGCTTAGTAATTAAACAAATGGCAGCTGATGAGTTAAAAGCAAGATTCACAAGATTAATCTGAGATGAATACTAAATTATAAGCAAGTTGTCTGTACTCTATAAATCTTGCCCAGGATATCATAAATAACTATTAGAGGAATAGCTATTAAACCTAACGACTGTTCAGTAGCTTGCAAATGCTTGGCTTTTTGAAATACTGTAGCCTTGCTACTCATACAGTACCACATGATTTACTATAACAGTATCCTGGAAACCTAGGAAAAAGATGCAAAGAATATTCCTTGATACTATCAAGTCTCTACAGCAACAACAAAATCATGATCATCATTAATAATATGCTTGTTATGTACGGGTAACAGTATACTGTAGTGCCACTTACATATTATTATTAAATAACACCTTTGTAACTATTAAAGACTGCAAAAACAGATGTGTTTGTCTTCAAAAAGATTGAGATGGCAATATGCCACTTCAGTTTCATCATCATTTAGCTTTGTAATAATAGTTCCTGGTTCAACTACAAACAAAATGCACTGTAATTAGAGCATTGTAGGCACACTGTATCCTGGTAGTGTTAGCAAAAAACATTAAAAAAGGAACTTTGAAAGAGATGCTTTTTATAATACTCTGGAAATTCTTAGAAGTTTTTTTTCTAAAATTAGATTTACTCAGGAAAGGTTTACATAGTACATTATGTATTTTTACTGTATGTGTGCATGCATGTAAGTACATCTACATTTAATTTACCTCACTGTCT